ACCATATACCAAGATAAGGTCAAAATGGGTAGATGATTTAGACATAAAGGGTGATGATACCACAAGCAAATTAGGAGAGCAAGGAATAGTTTACCTGTCAGATCTATGGAGAAGGGAAGAATTTATGACCAAACAAGAGAAAGATAACATTATGAAATGCAAAATGGATCATTTTGATTACATTAAATTAAAAAGGTTTTGCACAAAATCAATGCAACCAAGATTAGAAGGGAAGAAGAAAGCTGGGAAACAATTTACTGCCAGTGTTTCTGGTAAAGGCTTCATTTCTCAAATATATAGAGAACTGGGTCAAACTTATAAGAATATAAGTCATTTCCCAACTGATAAATGGTCAAAGGATATGAACAAGCAGTTTTTAGATGAAGAAATTAGAGCTATCTATGGTCATATGAAAAAATCCTCTAAATCACTATCAATTACAGAAATGCAAGTTAAAACAACTCTGAGGTACCAGCTCACACGTATTAGATTGGTTAATGTGACAAAAAAGGGAAATTGTAAATGTTGGAGAAGATGTGGGGAAATTGGAACACTAACGCATTTTGCTGGTAGAGCTGTGAACTGATCCAACCATTCTGGAGAGTAATATGGAGCTACGCCCCAAGGGCTATAAAATTGTGCGTACCCTTTGATCCAGCAATACCACTACTAGGTCAATATCCCAAAGAGATAATAAAATAGGGAAAAGGACCCACATGTGCAAAAATATTTATAGCAGCTCTTTTTGTGGTGGCAAAGAATTAGAAATTGAGAGGATGCCCATCAATTGGGGAATGGCTGAACAAGTTGTGGTATATGAATGTAATGGAATATTTTTGTGCTATAAGAAATGATGAGCAGGAAGACTTCTGAAAAATCTGCAGACTCACATTAACCGATGCTGAGTAAAGTGAGCAGAACCAGGAGAATACTGTACACAGTAATGACAACTTTGATAGACTTAGCTCTTCTCAGCGATGAAATGATCTAAAACAATTCCAAAAGACTCATAATGGAAAATGCTATCCACATCCAGACAAAGAACTATGGAGTCTGAATGCAGATCAAAGCATGCTATTTTCTCTTTTTCTGTTTTTTTTTCTTTCTCGTGGCTTTTCCCTTTCATTGATTCTTCTTTCACAACATGACTAATGTGGAAATATATTTAATCTGATTGTTCATGTATAGCCTATATTGGATTGCATGCTGTCTTGGGGAGAGGGGAGGGATAAAAAGAGAAAGGAAATTTGGAACTCAAAATCTTATAAATGTGAATGTTGAAAACAATCTTTACATGTAATTGGAAAAAAATAAAATACTATTAAGTGGGGGAAAATGAGTTGAGAAGGGGAAAAAAGTGCAATTAGATGCCCTTGATGGGTTTACTTCACCTGACCCATACGATCTAGTAAACTGAAAGAACTGGCAGATGTAATAGCTGAGCTGTCTGTGATCTCTGAAAGATCCTGGACAATGACAGAAGTACTTCAGGATTGCAGACGGGCAAATGTCCCAATTTTTTAAAAAGGAAAGTGAATAGAGCATGCAAACTATGGGCCAGTGATCTAGTCTTTGATTCCTGGTAAAATTCTAGAATAAATTACTAACAGGATGGTTGAACAACTAGAAAGGAAAGTTATAATCACAAAGTGCAGCACATCAGAACAACTTTATTTTACTTTTTGACAGAGGTTACTAAACCTATATATCCAGAGGACAGGAATGAAAAAGATAACTAGTAGAGGTAAGCCAAAAGATAAAAAATAAACCGGGAAAGATTTGATTGAAAAACTCAAGGGTAGAAAGTTCAATGTTGAAATGAATAACCTTAAGGTCAAAACTCTGAACTGGTAGCAACTAAGCCAGAAAGGAGTAATGGACTAGGAGAAAAGGGAAAGATCAAGGCCACAAAAAGGAAGAGATGAACAATTTCAGGAGGAGCTGGGGAGTAAGAAAGGTACAAGAACAGAATATTATGGTTGGAGAGTAGATCTTGGAGTTTTTCATTTAGATAACAGTAAGGTCTAAAGTGTGGCCATTCTGGTGAGCAGTTGAGTAGAGATGAAAGTGGAAGCAAGTGCAAGATTATTAATCAATGTAAATAGTAATGTCAATAGTAGGAGATGTGAAAAGTGGGAAGATTATAAACTGGATGCTGAAGTCACTGAAGAAGGGGAAGAATCTTAGATATCAGTGCATTAAAAAATGGGGTGCTGTGGAATTTAAGAGAATAGAGCCTACTGAATGATGATGATGAGTGGGGGGAGGGAGAGACCAGAGGGTAACCAATCCTGAACTAAGCTGTAAGGAATGTGGGTCTAAGGGCCAAGCCTATGAGAAACTGGGGACTCAGGGGAAATTTGTTTGTAACAGAACAGGGCACTACTGGTTAAGGTAAAAGAAGCTAGCTATCCACAGAAGAGGGTAAGAACCACAGTCTGGCATTAATTAATAATAACCAAGGTGGTATGGAGTAGCCTTAAAGTCAGAAAAACTTGGGCTCCAGTGCTGCCTCGGATAGATAAAGGCTCTGTGACCCTAACTAGGCAAGATACTTCACCTCCCACTACTCTGGGCAACACCAGAGTATAAAGAAAAGCAGGTGGTAAAAAGAGTTTCCCTAGGCAGCTAGGTGGCGCAGTGGATAGAGCACCAGCCCTGAAGTCAGGAGGACCTGAGTTCAAATCCAGTTTCAGACCAAACATTTGACACTTACTAGCTGTGTGACCCTGGGCAAGTCACTTAACCCCAACTGCCTTAAAAAAAAAAGTTTCCTCACTTGGGAAGGTCTCTATGTCAATGAAATCATAAGTGTAGTCTCTTATCTTATGCTTAATAATAGTTGTAAGATAGGCACTATTATTGTCAACATTTTGCAAATGAAGAAACTGAGACTGAAAGAGATTAATACTTTAATTAGTTTCCCCAGGGTCAAACAGCTATCAAGTGTCTAAGATTCAAACCTAGGTCTTCCAGACTCCACTCCAGCATATTTTCCTCTATGGAGTGCTGCCTTTTGATAATAATAACTTTTATAGAGTGCTTAACATACATCACTTTATTTGAGCCTCAGAATAACTCTGTGAGGTAGAGACAGATATTGTTCTAGGTCTAGTATGGGAGACAAGACAGGTACACAATGCTAATAAAAATCAAAGGAAATAAAGCTTCTAATCATGCAATGTATCATAATAATAATTCCCATTTCCATAGCATGGGGATGGCCATTGGATTTGAAGTTAGAAAGAGCTGGGTTCGTGTTCCACCTTGGCAGGTCACTTCTTCTACACGGGTTTCAGTTTCTTCATCTGTAAAACGGTACTATTTGATCCCTAAGATTCCTTCCCTTCCAACTCAATAAAATTATGTTTCTACGTGTACCACTGAGCAAGTAGGCTAATGTCTCTTGCCCTCATTTTCCTCACCTTTAAAAAGGAGAGAGCACAATTGACGTAACAAACTCTAAGGTCACTTCCAGATGCAAATCTGGATCCTATTATCCTATAATCTCTGTTTTGCAGCTGATGGAATGGAGGCTCACAGAGGTCAGTGAGTTGTCTAGGGTCATATAAGTGGCAATCAGGATTTGAACCCAAATCTCTCCTGACTCGAGTCCTGTGCTAGGTCCACACTATACTATGGATTATATGCGTATTCACATTGCTTAGCAATTATTTCATTTGTTTCTCTGTTCTCCACAACCAGACTTCAAGTTTCCAGAATCAATCCATATGTTAGAATTCTTCACTACCTACTATAATGCTTAGGATAGCAGGAACTCAATAAATACTTAATGAATTGAATGGACACAGATAACAGTAGGGATTGAGGGAATAATAGATCAAATTCCTTATGCGAGATTACACAGCAAAGACTGTAACAGGAAAATCTATTGTTTGGTGCATTAACCAGGCTGCAAGTGAACCCTTTCTCACTGAAAACACTGCCTCAGCTCCAGAGTCCTGCTGTTTGGTATTTGCCTTTCCCCAGCATGCCAGATAACCAGCAGATACAAATACACCATGACCCTCGGAAGTAAACAGATGAGGATTCCTAGTCCCCTAACCTCAACATATTTATCAGAACTAGACACAAAAATTAAAAGAAGCTATTTTGCCCCAGTATACACTGTAAATTCTGAGTTAAGCATAGAAGCTCAAGAGCTCATTGTACCCAGTATAGCTTGCATCTCTGCAAGATTTGGAATAAGAAAGAGCTATAGGCCCTGCCCAGACAACCCCTGTAATAGCAAGAGGAAGGACACGCTAGGCTAGTGAAGGTGTTTTAAGACACAATAGGCTAAAGCAGGGCTCCTCTGCAAACTTTTGCTTAGAAACCCAATTTGTATGCACACCACTAAAGAAACTTTTCACTTCGAAAACTGACATTTTATCTACCCCTGTAAGTCAGAAAGAGAACAACAGCGCCTCCGCTGTTCCCACAAAAGAGAGAAAAATTCCTTCACATACATGCCTTTCACACTTTTATAATGTAATAGGCATAGCCTTACCCAGTAAAATCCTATAGAAAAGAACATGAACTAGGAGTCAGGAAACCTGGATTGGAGTGCTGGCCCTGGCCCTAATTAGCTAACTGACCTTGCTTAGCCTTGACTTCTCTGCATCTATAAAACTTGCAGAGCCAACTTAATGTCACAGGACCTCTCTATTCCTGCATATCTGAAATGGGGATGGTAACACCTTCCCTTACCCATCATCAGAGGATGGCTAGACAAGTGCCTTGAAGGCAAAAACAAAACAAAACAAAGAGAAAAACTAGGATCCAGGAGTCATTTTAGGGCTCAGCTAGTCCAACTCATACCTAAATTGAAATCCCCCTCTACAACAACTCCCCAAAAGTAGTCATCCGGCCTCTTCTTGAAGATCTCAAGTGGTGAAATACCTTCCACCACCACAGCAGGTCATTCTACTTTTCAAGAGTTCCAATTGTTAGGAAATTTTTCTTTACATTGAGCTGACAACGACTTCTCTTTAACTTACTAGCTGTGTGACTCTGGGCAAATCGGACAATGTCTCTGATCTGATGTCTTCACCCTGTAAAATGAAGAAAATTATAATAATTAGAACAGATAGTCAGTCTATGACCTAATTACTTTCACATTCATTATTGCAACTGATCTTCGAAACGCTGAGAAGAAGGACGGAAAGATATTAAACTCACTTTACAGGATAAAGCAACTAGCTCAGGGAACTTAGTTGCTTGCCCTGCATCACACAACCAGTAAGTGGGAAAACTAGAACTTCCCCTTCTTGCTCCCAGCTCTCCTCTCTGCATCCAAGAACAAGTTTCATTCCTCTTCCACAGGACAGTCTTTCCAACTCTTGAAGAAAGCTATGCTTTTCCCCGTAACTCTCCTCCTCTCCAGGCTAAATATTCCTAGTACCTTTACCTGCCTCACACAGGGCACCAATTCTGATCTCCCCATCCCTGACTGTCCTCCTCGGAACAGGCTCCAATTTGTTGGGGTCCTTCTATGTTGCAGAAGGCAGTTTAGCACATCTGAAAGGCATCTGGGGAATTGGCTTCACTTCAAAACTCCATGAGACAACAGAGTGATACATCATCAAAAATGTGAATACTTATTTAAAGGCTATCTTGAAGAGGCATAGTGTCCAGGACTTAGGAAGTATTCATTCCACTGTACTCTGACCTTTCAGGCAACATTGTAGAACACTATGTTCAATTCTGAGTACCCCATTTTTAGGAAGAACACTGATAATCTAGAGGGACAACTGACTAAGGGCCTCAAGTTCATGCCATATGAAAGCTGGTTGAAGAAACTGGAAGCATTCAGACTAAAAAAAGAAAAAAAGACAAAAAAAGGTTTGTAGATGGGAGGGGAAGAGACATCATAGAGGTTTCCAAGTATTGAAAGGCCTATCACTTGGAAAAGCATTAAATTTAGTCTGGCTGGCCCAACCGGGCAGAACTAGCAACAGGAAGTTGCAGAAACATACATTTGGGCTCTCTAAGCAAGGATTAGAGCTGTCTAATAGACAGAATGGGCTGCCCCCAGAAACTCTTTCCCTCTCAGGGAAGGTCTTCTAGTCAGTAGGCGAGTTGAAGGGCATGGGGCATTGGAGAGGAAATTCTTATCCAGGTATGAGTTGGAACTACATGGTTTCCAAGAGTCTTTCCAAGTCTGACATTTTGTAAGTCGAGTAGTGAGATGCCACGAACACTAGCTCTGAAACCAGGCCTGGGTTCAAATCCCACCTCTGATGTTAGGAAACAAGTCATTTCACTTCCCTCGGCCTCAGTTGAGGTGGATGGACTAGAATACCCTTCTAGCTCTAGATGTATCATCCTATGATTCCATAATGCTCAGATTTCCAATATTTCAGATGTAGTCTTGACCAGGGCAGAAGGCAATTCAAATCAATTGGCATTCATTAATTTCCCACTATGTACCCAACCCGTGCTAAACCCTGTGCAGAATATGAAAGTGGTACACTGGCCTAGTTTCTTTCCTTAATAGCCTCACTAATCTAATCTGGGAAAGAAGACTAAAATACGAATAAAGTCACAGGGCAGGACAGCATGACCTGTGCTGGCACCAGGAGGAAAACAGTGATTGCGACAAGTAGTTACACGGAATGTCTCAAAAGTCTTAGTCAGTTTTAAGTGTTAAACTTAAGACTTTGGGGACATCATGTATATGAACCATAGATAAGGGTAGGGACAGATTTTGTAGGGCCTAGAAAGTCAAACTAAGGAATCTGGACTACTAGACTATAAATTCTTTAACAGCAAAGATGACAATGCCTCATTTGTCTTTAGGCCTCCTTCAAGACTTCACATCAGTGCTTTGTACAGAGAAGACATTTAACTGTTTGCTAAACTGGAGTGACTTGATCTGATAGACAATGATGATATTATTACATTTGTAAAGCATTTTACAGTTTACACAATGCTTTCACACACATTCTCTCCTTTGGCCCTCATAGCAAGTACAGCCATACTGTACTGCAGAGAGAGCACTAGGCTGATTCTGAATCTCACCTTAGACGCTTATAAGCTATGTCACCCTAGGCAAGCCGCTTCATCTCTCAGCCTCAGTTTCCCCACCTGTAAAATGACGATAACAGCACCTGTTTCCAAAGGTGTTGTGAGGATCAAATGAGATAATTTATGCAGAGTACTGTGCAAGCCTTAAAGCTTAAATGTCAGTTATTATTACAACTATTATTACCCTCATTTTACAGAAGAAACATACTGCAAGGTAAAGTGATTTGTCACAAAACTTAAGTGAGCAGCCAAGTTAATGTTCTAAATCTCCAAATCCAATAATATTCTTTCCACTACATTAGCACCACTATGAGTTCTTAAAACTGAAAATAAAAATAAGCCAGTTTCTGTGTTCTAGGAAGATTAAACTGACTTCATGTGTCACACAAGCAAGATCACCTAGAAGGCAAATCTAGAGGCAAGGATAAGGGGTGTAGGAGTGGGAAGTATAGAATCAAGTCCCAAAGTCCCAAATCTGGAGAACCTCTCTTGGTAATGGTGGTAGCAGTAAATAGAGGTGAGGAAGTTTGGGAGAGGAGGAAGCTACTTGGAAGATTTGTGCCTTTTAGAACACACTGAGTTTGCAGTGACAGTAAGCCATTCAAATGGCAATAAGGGCGACTGGAAACAGGGGACTGAAAGGAGAAATCACAGAGATGCTGGAAAGAACACTGGATCTGGAATCAGAAGACCTGGGTTCAAATTTTGTCTCTGCCACTTACTACCCTAAATGACCTTGGGAGCAAGTCATTTCTTTGGGTCTCAGTTTCCTTATACGCAAATTAGATGAATTGAATCTCTCACACCATAGGCCAGGCTCCAAATAGATAAATGCCTTAGATATAAAAAGTCACATTATAAACAAATTAGGGAAGGAGATATCTTTCCCCACTATGGATAGGGCAAGAGTTTATGACTAAACAATGAGCAAAGTGTATCACAGAAGACAAAATGGACACTTTTAAATGTATAAAATTCAAAAGTTTTTGCACAAACAAAACTAATGCAGTTAAAATTAAAATGGCAACAGTTAAATGGTAAAAAAATATTTGCAGGAAATTTCTCTGATAAAGGTCTCATATCCTCTATATAAGGAACAGATTCAAATTTGTAAGATCAAGAGTCATTCCCCAATATAATCATATCAAAGGATATGAAGAGACATTTCAAAGAAAGAATCCCAAGCTAACAGCCACATAAAAACAACTCTAATGTTCCACTTCACACCATACCCCATCAGATAATTAAAAAAAAAAAAAAGAAAAGAAAATGACAGTTGTTGCAGGGGTTAGGAGAAAGTAGGTACACTAATGTTAACAGAGTTGTAAACTGGTTCAACAATTCCAGAAAGTAATTTGGAACTATGCCCAAAAAGTCACTGAACCATCTTTAACCCAATAATGCCACTACTAAACATATACTCCCAAGAAATCAAAGAAAAAGGGAAAAGATCCACAGGTACAAAAGTATCTATAACAATTCTATTTGTTGTAGCAAAGAACTAGAAACTATGGGAGTGTCCCATCAGTTGGGGAAAAGTTGAACAAATTATGGCATATGAATGTAGCAGATTACTATTATGCCCTAAGAAATGAAGAATGAGATAGTATCAGAGAAAGTTGGAAATACCTGTATGAACTAATACAGAAGAGTAAAGCGAGCAGAATCAGAACAATTTAGACAATAACAATTTTTTGCTGAAAAAATGAAAGGGTTTGAGATCGTTTCTAGGGTCCCTTCCAGTTCTAAATCTATGATGCCATGCAGATTTGCACTGAGATGATGATAATTGTAGTCATGAGAATGGATGGCTGTCAAGAGGGCAAGTATGGAAGAAGAGCATTGGGCCACATGTCAGCAAGCAAAATAAAAAAAAATCAGCTCAAGCAGTCAGAAGCATTATTGTTTCTTCATTAGAACACAGCATACTAACAAATCTGGGAAGGTGTTATAACTTCTGCTTTATTAAGGATAACTAAATATTGACTCATTCTCAAATAATGGGACCACACAATTTATATATGGAAGGGAAAGCACACTCTTCTCCATGGTGAAATACATATTCCATTCTATCTGAAAAAAAAGTTTAACTAGTCTTCTGGGAGTCTCAGGAAACAACCTTTTTTTAAACCTACATAGTTAGCCACTGTCAATAATATACTGTAACTATGCCAAAAAAGTAACCATTCAAAATAGATATCTACATCTCAGAGAACTCTGGACAACAAAGAAGCAAACATTACCCTGTGACATGAGTGGGTTCATCATAGCCAAAACTTCTCAATACTCTAGCACAGAGGTTAAGTCAAAATATTGCTGAACTGGGTAAGCTCCTTCATCTATTCCTTCACCTTGGAGTAATAATAAAAGCAGTTGACATTAAATCACCTAATCAACAAGCATTAGTAAGCACCTATGCTAAGTGATAGGGAAACAAAGACTAAAATGAAATAATTCCTGCCATCAATAGTTTACATAGCACTTTTTACAATTTACAAAACACAAATTGATTCTTATAACCCTATGAGGCATAAAGTATTAATATTAGGGCTCCCATTTTACAGATGAAGAAACCAAGGCCCAGAAAGGGTAAGTATCAGAATCTGAATAGCTCTTAGGCCTTCTGGTACCACTTCAATACTCTTTTTCCACTAGGACATTCTGCCTCTCCAAGTGAGCATCCTTGTTTCCCCACCAGAAACTGTAGAAGCTGCACAGATGAACTAGCACAGCTATTTTTAACTTTCCATCCTGTTGTCAAAGAAACTCACTCATGTTGTTTCCAAAAGAGGATGAAAGGCCAGGGAGTAACAATGCAGGATTAAAGGTCATACCATACTTCTGGAAGGCTGCCAGATGATTCAGTATTTACTCAGGATTCTTTCATTGTGCCTTTGAATGTTTTAGTTACCTTCTTCTAAACTTCAAAAATCCATACTGCTGCTCAGCGTAAACCCTGGCTACTATGCCTCCACCACCAATATTTCCTGCCTCGTTTATAACCAAATGTCTCTTCCCTTTCTCA